AAAAAAAAAAAAAAAAAAAACAGAGACCAAAGCCTGACAAGAAGACCCTCCAAACAGCAGGACCAGCAGACTGTGATCAAAGGTTTGACCTTACTGACTGAACACAGGATATCTGATGGTACATGATCAACATAAATCACCAGGAACTACGCTGAGGAATTAGAACTGGGGAGATTTCCATTGCACTTTGCTATTAAAGCCTCAGCTGCCCACGGCTCCTTCGGCTTCAGCAGTTATACTTTATTCTATCTCTACATACAGTACACGTCTTCATCTTTGCAGGTTATAACTCTTATGATATGATGCCCTCTAGTGGCAATATAGTTTAAACATGTTTAAAAATGAGCGGTAGTATTTCAGATTCAGCTCCGAGAGGCACATCGGAGCACAACAAACTGCCTTTTCTCCCTACTGAGCTATGACATAGGCACTGACTTAAGCTCACAAACACCCAATCACCCCCATTTCCTGTTCTAGGAGGATGCCCATAAATGGCCATTTGGCAGTTTATGACAAGGCATACCTTGGCAAATGGACAAACTCTATAGTACACTTGAGCCACATTCATTACTACAAGGATAATTCTGCCCATTCTCCCTCCCTGAAAGCTATCATTATGCCTGAAGTGAACGGAAAACAATTATTCTGGCCATCTACAATAAATAAATGGTAATAATCAGAGCACTCTACACATGACTGTTTTGACTATGTGCAAATGTTTTGTTGGCGCCCGTGGATGGCCAAGGCCTAAAGACACACCTGTAGCTGTCACTACAGACATCAATACATATTATCAGGGGCGAGAGCATCCCAAAGCAAAGTGGACTGGGCTGCGTACTGAGAGTCGGGGGTGGGGGGGACTGCTGGGAGCTGTGGACCAGATCTTGTGGCGCTGATGTCCAGCTTTCAGAGCACTCAGGGCCGATGGAATCTGAAAAGACAACCATTCAGTTTTTGTACACAGCAAACTTAAAACAGTTTAATAAACAAACATTGATGAAACCTTTACAGCACATACCTGTAAAGCTACGTCATACTGTGAAATCAAACATGCACTGTATAGTCACTGTTACATCTACTATTCATAGATGTTAAAGAACAGTTGCTGAAACAATTTATCCATGAATCAATTAGTAAGTTGACAAAATACATTTGTGGATACTCTGATTAATATTTTTTTAGCCTTTTTAAAAGCAAAAACAAACATTTTTTGGCTCCAAATTTTCAAATGTGATGCTTCTCTAAAGTGCCCACACAGCTGTTTTCACTTATTGTATAATGAAGTGCAATAGTGTATCTGGACTGTCATTACGGCAGAAATATATGTTTGGTCACAATGTTGGGCAACAGACTGTTATCACTTTCAATAATTATGATGGATTGTGAAACAGGTCAGATTCTAGTTGTAGCATAACCTGATTTTAATATAAATAGAGGAGATGGCTTTGGGGGGCCCAGAACAATATAAATATTGATCAAGATGACCTAAAAAAAGAGCAGGAGTTAGTGATAAATTACTAATGAAACACAAATTGTGATCAGTCAGGTTAAGAGTGGAGATCATCCACCGCCCGAGTACCTGGTGAACTGTTTGCTGTCTTCATGAACTTCCATCTCTCGGCTCTTAAACTCATTCAGCTCCTTTCGGATAGCAGCCTGAGGGGCATAACGCACACACACATGCACAAACACACAGAGTTAAAACACTGCTACAGTACTACAACACTCAACTGTGTTTCTAATCATATCCAGTCTGAAATTTGACTGTGCTTCAGGGGAAGCATCACCTATGAGTCAGAGTGTAAGTAAGTAAACTTTATTTATATAGCACTTTTCACAGACAGAATCACAAAGTGCTTCACAACATCACAGAATGGTAATAATAATAAACACATATGATATTCATAAAACCTAAAAGCAAAATAACAAATAACAGAATAAAAACTGTTCATAAAAATCTGTAAACCCAATCAATTAAAAAACTGTCTAAATAAATGTGTCTTCAGCTGCTTTTTAAAACCCTCAACAGAATCGGCCATACGTAAAGACAAGGGCAGAGCATTCCACAATCTTGGAGCAACCGCCTTAAAAGACAGGTCCCCCCAAGATTTAAAGCGAGTTTTTGGGACCAACAAAAGAGGCTGATTTGAGGAACGAAGAGTATGTTCGGGAGAATATGGAACCAAAAGGTCTGTGTAAAGTAGACTTATTACAACAAGTAAAAAGAGAGTTACAATAATCAATACGTGAAGAAATAAAAGCATGAACAATCATTTCAAGATCCGCCTTTGATAAAATCTTCCTTAATTTAGAAATGTCTCTTAAATGATAAAAGCAGTTCCTGACTAATTGTCTTATATGACAATCAAGAGACATAGCCTGGTCCAACACAACACCAAGGTTTCTCAGGCTCCACTGGACGGAGGAGCCCAGCAAACCAAGGTGTTGTTTAATTACTGCGAACTTGTTAACAGGTGCAACAATAAGAGTTTCAGTCTTTTTGGAGTTTATGTGAAGATAATTATTATTGAGCCAGTTCTTGATGGAAGACAAGCACTCTAATAATATTGCTAAAAAGTGAAACTCTGAATCATTAAAAGAACAGTAAATTTGAAGATCGTCTGCAGTGTGATGCTCATGATCCACAATTTTAAAAACTGCTGGGAACAATAGGCGGACATGTACATGGAGCAAACGTGTGTGGTCATGCTGCTTTTGTTAAACAACATGTGCTGAAGCAAAATTCAAATCTGTGACGGTTCAGTGTTTAGGATTGTGTGAATCCAGCCTTATGAAGCATATTGAGTCTACACCTGTCATAGGAAATGTGCTATATAAATAAACTTGCCTTGATTTATGGCTTCATACATTGTGGCTTGTGTTAAAATAATGCATTGGGTTGCATTAATTGGTGTGTGTTGTTTCATGTACTGGTAAGGCAATGAAATCCGACACAGGAAACACACTTTTATGTGTTTAAACCACTGCACAGTGGTTTGTAATAACCACAGAGAGGAGTTTACAACTCTGGAATGTTATCATGGGGGCAGCTGTTTTATCTCTGGTAATGTTGATCTTGAGATAAACAAGATAAACAGGAACTAGGGTCTGTGTACTGTGTAGTGCCAAACGTCAGCAGCAAAGGGCAGGATTCACATAGAAATCCCATGCGCCCCCCAGGATTCCCATCTGTGTGGAGGTTTTTTAAAAGACAAGGAAGACCCTTGTATTGTAGACTTTGTACATGCATGCACCTATATGCTTTCTATATCATCAAATGTATTATCTCACCTCAGAGCATGTGGACCTTTGCATACAAAGCATGAAGCACCACATACACTGTTTTTGCTGCTTTGCAGAAGGCCTTTTTCCTGCTTCAACACGACAATGCCCCTGAGCATCAATCAAGTTTCATGAAGGTGCAATAAGTTTACTGAGTTTGCTGTGTAAGCACTCAACTAGTTTGCACAAATCAAGATTTTACAGTGCAGCATATTAACTGTAGTACTGTACCTTGTCAGCGGGAGTAAGCCGAGTCCAGGGTTTGTCTGCCCGCCGGTCATAATCCTTGGCATCTGTAACTTCCACATACTCGTTAAAACGCAGGATCCTGCGAGCGACGAGCTCTGCCACTGTAGGCCTCACACTCAGCTGCACACAAAGAAAAAGGGAAAGAAATTAGACTATAAGCATCAAAATTCAGGAACAGTCTTTGGAACACATTTGTTTTCAGTTTTAAGTTATATTAAAATCTAAAACACTATATGCCTATCTGCCTATATTTTACTATTGTACTTTAAAGTTGTTTTCTTCAGTTCCTTCTGTGTCCACTAGGTGGCCCATTTCACCACACAAAGCCCCATTTCTTCCTCCTAATATGACTCATAAGGTGGAGCAAAACATATTAGCAGCTAAATATAGACTCACTCTGTCTTGTCTGTTCTTTCTTACATGTGTGTGCGGTTGGTGTTTACAGTACCTTCCTGGAGAGCCGTCTCTTAATCTCTTGTTTGGCTTCTTGCTCCTCTGCTTCATTCTTTTCTGCACGCAGAGAACCAACAGTCATTTCACACCTTCTGTGTCTGAAACAAGCTTTTTCTATTTATAACTGTGAGCATTTGATTAACCATATTAAAGGGTGCCATTCTCTCAGTATAAATAAAACCAAAAGGGGAAATTATGAGGTTTGATTTCTTCTAGAAACAGAATTAATAATTTGAGTTGAATCTGTAACACAGGCACTCGTGTGGTGTCTTCACAGATGTACAGTGTCTGAACAACTTGTGGGTGACCTCTAACGGTCCCAAGAGATATTGAAAACAAGCCTTCTGGGATTCACCATAGAGAAACCAAGCACCTAACTCTGTGTAGAGCTATTTTTTTCTGTTTTATCCTAAAGAAAAAGTTACACAATACATATAATTTATATTGGTGTACTGAGGCTGAAACTGCATGACACTGTAAGCAATGACATTTTAAAGCATCGACATATTGAGACGGATGTCATGCACTGAAAGTACAAACCAGGTTATCACAAAACCTGGGTAAAAGTACAGTACACATGCAGTTTCTTAACATGCCCTGCAACGCCTTCGCTTCAGAGTTAACGAGACACAGTGTTCTTTATGTCATTAGGTCAGTTTTACTACAGCAGTTAGTTGTGAAGGTTCATTCTAGCAGTTTAACAGCTGCAGTGTGCGTGTGTTTAGTCACAGTCTCAAGGAACTGAAAGTGTCCATTCATGCATAACGTGTAGCCACAAAGGGATGAACTTAACCAGAAACAATGTTCCAATAAGTTTCAGTCACTGTTGTTTATTTTAATTTCCTGTGCTTTATTCACTAGATTTAAACTGTTGTTCGTGGGCTGTTTGCTACACTTCTCCATCTGAGCCTAAACAGGGAAAAGAGCTGTGAGGCCATTTAGATCGAGAGCAAGATTACTTTTACTAAATTCTTAAAAGCAGCTGAAAGTCTCTAGAATGCAAAGCTCATTAAAGTTGCCCTGGACAGACGGCACATCACAACACCATTTCCATACACCCATGCTGATTTTTCATGTTGTCGTAGCTAGAAAATTACATAACATTACTACTGAAGTTTCTAAACATAATGACATCAGGTACATCACATGGTGTAGTGTATCACATGACCCATAAGTTTAATACTGTACTTCAGAAACGTACGCTTGAGGATGTTTCTCTGCTCCAGCTCCTCTGTGGTGGGTCTTTGGCTCAGGCGTCTGAAAAGAGAAAACTGTGTTCTCATACCATAACCAAAAAAAGATTTTGCATTTCTATAAGTGGGGTCAAATTATGGAATAATTTAAGTGTGGACATGAAAAACAGTACTAGAATTGAGAGAGATACTGCTTGCAGCCAATGATGCATGAATAAGATGATGTTATGGGGTAGGACTGGATAAGTCTGACTTCTTCCTACTCCATTCAAACATGTACTAGGTATAAGCAAACTGATTCTGGATTAGTATTGGTTGGATTTGTGTAATTATGTGTGTGTTGATGTCATTGTTCTGCATGTTTGAAAGAATAAATCAAATCAAATCAAAATCAAAACCTTTCTATAAGGAGCAGAAATGATATAAACATTACATTCGTAACATTTGTAAAATACATTTTATTCCCTTCTTGTTGTTAGTCCAGTGGCTGTTTGCCACTTGCTTTCTACCTGATCTGGTAGAAAAGGCCAAACTCAACTTCATCACAGATTTTTACTGTGCATCATTTGTGCCAGTACAACGCCCACAACTGCACCACAAGGTAATTAACAATGTCTGTTATTACTCCACAGCTCTGCCAAATCTCTGGTGAAAACTCACACCTAGCTTCATTTTCACAGCATGTTGAGTGTGTGTGTGTGTGTACCTGACTAGTTTGCAGCCTATCTGCTGGCGTAGCTCATGCCTCTCTGTCTCAGAGCTTCGTGGCAGAATGTTCTTCTCCTCCAGCTCTTTCTTGCTGGGTCGGTTCCCAAGCTTGATGTTCAGGGTGTCTCGTCGGCGTATCTTGCTGGCCAGAGAGCCTGGAACAGAAATGCAACATAGAGAACTAGTTGCAGGCTTAATAGGGCCTTGAAACAAGCAGCATGGAGCTCAGCTGCAGATAATACTGAAGCAGCAGTGAAGCAAATGAGACATCTAAAACAACATGCTATTTAACTGATACAGTAGGTGTAATTTAATTGCAAATATCACTACAAGGGTGAGTGATACTGGAGCAACTGTCAGTTGGCAGCATTTGTCTGCTTTAAAACAAATATGTAAATCAGCCATTTGATATGTCAGTTTTCACAGCAAAAGTATCTAACAAGTAAATGTTCAAATCATTTGAGCACTGCATAGTCACTGAATACTGGGTGTTGCTGTGAGCAGTCCTCAGAGTGATGTAATCTGGGGACTGCGCAGGCCTCAGCAGCAATGAAAACTCAGTGTTCCTGTGACCATTTAGTAATGATGCATGCCTTTTGACAATCAGGAATGATGAACATCAGTAGGAGGACCTCTGACTTGTGACCTCTGACCTACAAACTATTTTTATCAGCAGGGTCAGCTATCACTGGGACTAACAGCAACACCAGTGCAGGACAGAGTTTCACTGATTTGGAGGTCATGGGTCACAGTTGGCAGTTGACAGATCCTCGCACCGATGGAGGCAACCTGAAGATGAATGTGGATGGTATTCACTCTCAAAACATTAGTCTGAAGTTGTCTAAGACAGCAGCTTTGGGAGGAAAAAATACTTTCACAAGATGAATGTGAAATTGCAGTGTAGTAATAGAGCCTTAGCTGTCATTACGTGTTGATGATTATGAATCAACATTTTTTCTTTTTTCATAATTTCTTGCACTGGGACCAAATAAAACAAATTATTTAAAAAGGTTGCGGAAACCCTTAAAATTTAACATGTAAAATTATGTTCTTTGTGGTCAGAAGACATTACTAATCATGCAACTTCAATAAAAAATGACTTCATTCAATATGGGCTCTGCTTTTACTCCAGTCTGAGTGAGTTGTCAGCTGAAACAGCTGAAAAATGCACAGCTTGACAAGTTGGTATTTTCACTTTGGAGACACCTAAATATCTATCCAAACCGGTCTGTCATACAAGTTCTGCAAGCAGCACACTGGCTTTTTTCATTACTGTGTGATGTTACAAAACTAATGCCATACTATTTGTGTACTCGTCTTCCTCCTCCTCTTCTTCCTCCTCCTCATCCTGGTACAGGATTGGTCCATCAGAGTCAGAGTCACTAGTCTGGCTGTCTCTCGGCCTGTCAGGGATCACAGTTACAGTGGCCTGGTCTGTATTCACGCTCAGGCCCTGTGGCTTTTCAGCTTGGCTCTGTGCTGACCTGCAGGAAACAAGACTGTAGCAGCATAAGAATCACGTGCAGAGAAGGCAAACATGAGGAATGTTTCACCAACTTGCACGGCCTGAGTAGATACCTTGAGCTGTTCTCCACAGCTGACTGTGTTTCTTTTTTCTTCTTTTCTTCTTCTCCTCCCTCGCCTCCTGTTCTTCCTGGTTTCTCCCCTTGTGAACATGTCTCTCCCTCTGTAAAGGAGGTGTCCTCTGTAGCTTTCTTGATATGGGGGGACTGGAGTGTGGGTTCAGGAGCCATACCTTTGTGAGTCTCTTCACCTGTAATTGAGGCATTGGGAACAGACTTCGAAGCAGCCTGAGTTCCCTCTGTCTCACTACCTGAGGCTTTAGATGAGGCAGGCTTGGAGTCTGAGGAAAGGAGCAAGGATTTTAATTCCCCAGGCTGGTTAGGAGTCTCTGCAGAGGCTTTTTGAGGTATAGAGGAAGAGGAGGGAGCGTCTGATTTCCGGTTGGTCCGTGCATCTGTCCTGTTAGTCTTTACTGCAGCACCCGTGTCCTTAGACACATGAGAACGAGGGGTGGAGGTGGAAGTGGAGGCAGAGGTGGATTTTGCTGTGCCTCCTGTCTTCTTTGGATGGGAGGATTTGGCTGAGGAGAAGCAGGAGCAAGAGAAAGTGAGAAGAGAAAATTGAAGTTTCTTTCCCCCGAGGTGCTCCAGTTTTGTCCCACAGTCTGAAGACATGCAGGTTATCTAAACAAAAACTCCAAAAGCATCTCTAGGTATGAATGCAGTTCAGTATATACAAATTATATGTTGTAGATTTAATTTAAAGTCCAAATTAAATCTCATAGGCATCTTTTTTTGCAGTCAAAATGAATATGAATATGTTTTTTAAAATATATTGTTAATTCTAACTTTAACCCTATAACCAAGTCTCAACTCTCAAATAGCCCTTTGATGACCAGTCAAAATGTTCCCACAGTGTAGGTTTTAAATAAAACACATAGCAAGATGTGTACACACAGAATGAAGGGTAATGATCATGCCCCAGCATCATGCGATCAGTCAAAAGCACATGACCGTGTCAGAGCTTAGTCCTATGCTACTCTGACCTCACTCATGCTCATGCTTTCCTTTACGTTATCATAGCACCCACCCCCACATATACACACACAGGTGTATATGTGGGGGTGTTTACAGAGCTTGACAGACAGATCTTTACTTATGTTTTCTCACAAAGCAGACGGAGAGATCATAACTGAACCACTTCCACATTTAGTCACTTGACTGTAAATCCCTTGTAATGAGGAGGGAGAAACAGAGAAATGACAGAAACTTGACTAACACTTCATATCTACGAGGACACCTTTAGAGTGAGTGTTCCTTTACTTCATACAGTGAGGTATAGCACATTTTCCATGCATGGAGGCAGGCAAGAACATCAACAGGCAAAGTGGCTTCAACCCCAACTAAATGAACTTACCAGTCCCATGACTAGCGTTGTTAGTGCTCCGTGGGTTAGCTTTAGCTTGTGTGGATGAGCCTGCCTTGCCTGTAGTTTTAGCAGTCTTTTTAGTCCCTGAGGCACCATCTCTGTGCCTGGTTGTGACTGCAGTGCCACCTGCAGCTTTGGAAGAGGTGGGCAGAGTGGCACTTTGCTGTTTTTTAGCTTGTACATCTTGAGGTCGCACCTGGTTTGCCTGGGCAAGAGGTTTAGTATCACACCTCTCTGAGCAGACCAGATGCAGCAGGAAGGAAAAGCATGACATTTAGAGGTTAAAACAGAGACCAAAAGATAAAAGATGCACATTTGTGCAAACAGATGGGCATGCAGAGAAGCAAATTGTGGCAGAAAAAGATACTGAAAGATAAAGAGTGAGATGGACTGAGCTGATGCTAAATCTGTAATCTTGTGTAACTTTTCCATAAGGCTAACAGATAAAATGTACCCATTAACCTGATTTATGCTTGTTCTGCTACTGCATTTGCAGTGTTTGTAGCCTGTGCCTTTCAGGTTATTGACAAATTAACAAACAAATGGCTCCAAGTTCAATGCTAACAGGGTTGCAACGAAAAAATAACAACACTTAAGCAGCATCAGGCAGAAGAACAGTGGCCTGTCTCCTGAGGTAGGGAGAGGCATTAGGAGATGGAGCTGCTGCTCTGTTCAGACTGTGAAAGCCAGCAGCGGGCTTATATTATGGGAATATCTATTTGAACACATTAGACCTGATCAGAGATCCCACAGACAATTCAGCGTCAGCCAGAGAACTGCTGCCGATACAAATGCATTCCATAACAGAGCGGGACAGATTTCAAGGGTAACGAACATTTAAAAAATAGCGCAACATTTGTTTTATATATAAAATTAGAACTGCTAAATTGCTGTAAAAGTCCCTCATTCTTGGGTAACACAACATGTTTCACATTCTATTTGAAAGAGCAGAGCCATGTATCGATCAATCCAATATTTAGTAGCTGCTCAGCTGTCTAAGACATTATTTCTGGCTCCATTTCACAAACATTGTACCAATATTAATATCTCTGTGGTCACTTTCACACAGTTTATTTAGTGCTTAATTCAAAGTGACCCTTGCATAATTGTTCCAGTACAGTAACAATTAGCCACTTCTAATTTTGAAAATTGAATTTTATACCTTCAAGAATGACTCCATTAAGTCAATTTTTGTTGAAGTTTCTAATATACCAATGAAAAACTATTATTCCAGTTCTAAAGCCTCAACAAGTATAGAGGTCCAAAAGTTAAAAGATGCATTAATTAACCACATTGTCTGATAAATCACATGAAAATAGTACAAGGCTCCACTATGTGACATTATGGTTCGTACAGCTCTTCTGTTGTTATTTCAGCTTCTCTGTTTTCAAGAATTGGTTCATACATTAGCACCACTTGCCACCTGGCAAAGGTTATAAGAAGAGATTTTCAAACTGTGAGTCATCGTTTCAAACACTAAGCCATGGATGAGCTCTTGGAGCTAAAAGTCCATATCATTGGCTGCCAGACCAAATAGGTTGTGTTCTTTTGCACAGAGCGAGTGGGACACAGACAGAGGAGAAACCAGGGTTAACATCGGTTTGTCTTTATGAGATGGAAGAGTGTTAAAAGCAGCCGAAGAACTCAGATTTGAATCGGATGTGGTGTTCTTAGATGCCTTAGATAATGGTGTTTATTTTGGTAGCCTTAGTGACCTATTATGGTCATGATTATTGCTTTGTATTAAATAAATATGATTTTAATTTGGAAGTAATTCACGCTTTGTGTAATGTTAGTGCTTTGTGTGACATTAACAGTAACCAGAGCGTTTAACTGGATTATGAGTGTGTCACAACCAGGCATCCATATTTTGTGTTGTTGCTAGGAAACACAATGTGATGGGAGATGTGCTACATGCAATGTGCTACTCCTAACCAAAGAATGGTTAGAAGTAGCTTGTGGGCCTTAAGGTGTCAGTCTGTTTTGAGTCTCACTAGTGTCTAAAGCAGTTTTAGGAACTCCAAATAGCTCTAGATTACACAACCACAGTATGACAAACACTCATACTAATCCACAGTAACTGTTCCAGACGTTACCTGTTTTGTCCTCTGTGCTGACAGGCTCAGTGGCCTTTATCTCCAATGGTGTTTTTGGAGACTCTATGTCAACTTTGACTTCCTCTGATGTTACACTGGATGTGGCATGACCATTCAGATTTTCACTGCTGATTAGTTCCTCTAGAAGTAAAAAACACAGTGACTGTAACTAAAATCCTCTACTTTTCAGTAATGTAAAGTTAAAGTAAACCAGATCTCAATTTTGTATTCTGAGTTCTGCTTTTATTGCCAAATTCAAACCAATATTGGAACACAGAAAAAAAAAGAATGAAGAAATGTGAATGAATGAGCAAACCTTGGTCAGGGATGAGAACTCCTTTCTTGATGAGCTCCTCTCTCGTTTGTCTAGTGGAGATTTTTCTTTCTAGAACTGAAAGACCAAGATTTAGATGACTGTAGGATTCAATAGGGTAATTTTATATGGGCTTCTTTTATCTAGTCATCTATCCAAATCAGTACATTTACACAGAAATGCAATGCGCAACAGATATGTTCCTGTTGTTACTGCAGAAATGTCACCACAGTCGCCACCCTTCTCTGCACGCAACAGCACTAGAGTCACAGAGGGGGAACAAAGCTAATTCTGCCATCCTGCTGCAACCTGCAAGCTGTTTTTCTCTGGAACCTCTTGAGAGTGGGATCATAAGGAATCAATCTTCCTTGTTTATAATTAGATCTGTGCACCGCTGAGTCACCTCATTCCCAGAGTTACACAATTTAAGCTGAAAAGTTTAGTCAGTAACCAATTAATCAGTCAACAAAAAATAACCTACAACTAATTAGATAATCGATTAATCTGGTGTTTTGGCAAAAATGCCAAAACATTTATTGATTTCAACTTCTCAAATGTGAGAATTTGGTGCTTTTCTTCATGTCATATTGAATAGCAGACTGAATACAACTTTATTTTGGACAGATGGTTAGAGAGACATCGATCACTGAGGTGTTACATAAAAATAACTGCAAACAAATGCCATAGGCATTTTTCCCAGTTACAGTATATGAGCTCTCTCTTTTCTCTAAAAGTTGTTCTTTGCTTCGCAACAGGACAGTAGCCTGTAGCCACCTAAAAGGACATGGAGGGCTGAAACCAACATATAGATGCATAATGTAGAAAGAATCAATTATAGCTGACAATCGTGAAGAGGAAAAGTCTCCCTCCCTGTTTATTTCCTAGCCAACACTTCACAAATGAATCAGTGAGAGATGTAAACAAACCGTTCAATCTTTTCCTTTTAAAGCTCTGCTGGGGACAGCACTGCTGCTGTTCACACTGAATGTTCTGCACAAATCCAAAAATTTAAGACATGATAATGCACAGACACACGATTGAGAAGAGCTAATCACAAGCCACTCCTCAACTTGGTCTGGCAACATCATTAAAATGCACACCAACACGCAAGGTGTCCTACCTTTGGAAAGATCCTGGAATTTGTCGCTGGTCTTCTTCTTCCTCCACTTCCAGGGTTTGAACAGTTTGCCTAGTGTCGATAGCTTGCCTCGCTGCTGCCGTGGTGCAGGGGCATTCTGGGTATTGGAGGGGAAGTCCACACCCACATCACAGCTGGCCAGGGATGCTGATTTCTCCAATCCTTCAACTAGAAGACACACATGGAGCAACACAAAAAAGTAACATCAACAACTGGGTCAACATCATCATCATCATCATCATCAAATAAAGTTGATGATGATGAACATCATGATGTAAATTCCAAACATGAACATGGACCAGTGACCGCCTCCTTTCACTACTTCTGCTGCAAAACACTGACCAGTTCCATTATTATCCCTGTTATGACATCAAATAACTGAATTTCCTTTGGAAGGATTCTATTCTTTTAATAAAGTGGGAATATTTCTAACTGTTTGTACAGTATTAGTAGTGTGGGATCACATGTGTGTTGGCTAGATCCCTGTCCTTCCACAACTCCTCCTCTTCCGGTTGAAAGATTAGAAGTGCTGTGAACCTTCTGGAAAGCTGCAGACACAGTGTATGTGTGTGTGTGTGTCGAAGTCTCACAGAGGAAAGAGGGGTGGTGTGCGAGTCCTCAGATTCAAGCAAAGGAAGATTTTTGCTTTTCAACCAGGGACATTGTCGTTTTTATTCCACATATTCTTCTACCTCGTCAGATCCCGGCAACTATGTTACCCACAATGCAACTTGACTGCAAATAGTTCAGTCAGGCTTATGCAGAAACACAGTGTAATTACTGCAGTATTTCCTTTTGTTATATTATACATTGTAAAATCACAGCATGACAGAAACACTATGCAGGTATGATCGCACCCAGCTCTCCATATGAGCATGACAGCACGTATATACACAACTTGGCAATTAGGAGCACAAAAACAAAAGAACAAAAACATGGAAAAGTGTAATTCAGAGCCCAGCACACACTCTCCCCAGACACCAATTTAGTTTCTCTCTCTCTCTCTCTCTCTCTCTCTCACACACGCACACAGAGCCATTTCCTGTTCCGGTGTTGATACCGTATCAAATCACAACAATAGTTGCATTTCATCAACTGCTTTGTGCTGCCAATGATGGGGAAATCAGTAACAACAACCACTATCGCCATTAGTCCAGCTGCTAAACCTTTAGTGCACACAAAATAGGGACAATGGATCAACAGAAAGAAGGCAAAGGAAAGTGAAAGACAGGGGATGAGTGAAAGAAAGAGTGCCAACTTTAGAGAAAAGAAAACAAAAATGGGATTACAGAGAGAGTTGGCGAATTGACAAGACTCAGTCAAATAGATGGCAAATATCTGGGGTATGTTAATGACAGGTGGTTTGTAGAGAAACATCTTGCTCATACATCTGCTGAATGCATTTGATGAATATGAATAAGCAACAGAGTCTTTAATTGGTGACTTTTTCAGCAGCTGAACAGCTGAGGACAGATCTATTTAGAGTATCGTAGTTTAAAAGTCTTTGAGTGCCACAGCTCTACCACCCCACCAAAAAAAGTGAAGTGAAAAATCTATGACGCTTCTTGGAAAAACTGCATCACTGCACAAGGCAACATCACATTAACTAACATTAAATAACTTGTTACTTTTCAGAACCAGATTAACACAAAAATTACAGTGTTAAAATTAGACTTTATTGATCTTCACTGGGAATTTCACAAGCCACCCAGCAGTATGTACGCTACTTCAAATTATAAGCATATAAGCTACTTAAAACTAGCTCTCCCTTTACCAGCTGCAACATTAAATGTGATGTACACAATAATGCATTAATAATTAAAATACAATAACTGATATACAGGAATGTGAAATGTGCCATTCTACATCATGATTAGTTTTATTTTTAATACTTTAAATGTGATTTGATGCTATAACTTTGTACAAGTAACATTCGGAATTTACTTGCAACAAAGTATTTTTACACTGTGTTACTCCTGTCTTTATTAAGTAAGGGATCTGAGTACTTCTTCCACCATTGAGACTTGCCAGCACAATTCTGCATTACAGACAAGGCAAATCTGTCTGTCTGCTTTTTGATTACAACAATGTGGGTCAGATTCACCTCAGTTTAACAGGATGTTATTAGAATCAGAATCAGCTTTATTGGCCAGGTGTTTTGGACACACGAGGAATTTGACTCTGGTACAGCAGCTCTCAATGCGCATGTACATGTCACATGTCCTTAAGTAAGGCAGCAGTGGGCAAGTAAACACAATACACATTACAATTACTGACTCAACTCCAAAATTCCCTGCTGGAATTCACAGGGAGGCATTTTATTTTGAAACGGATGACTTGCGATGTCATACTAGAAAGGTGAGTCAGGATTTGGATACATAGCAGCTGTGGAAATGGATTGGATAATCACAAACAACTGGAGACACAACAGACACCTGCCTGAAGTAATCACACACCAAATTTATTCAGTGACCTCCTACGCTAAGACACAGCCTGAAGTAAAATAAAATTATAGACTAAACACAGTAATACACTGAAATGAACAGATTACGTTTTGCGTTAACAGCTTGATATTTATTTTCTATATGTTCTCAGTATGTGTGATATGGCATATATTGTCTAGTACAGTATTATAGGGTTAAAGCAGCTTTGTATTGTGGCAAAGAAGTTAGAAGTTATAGCAGCAACATGTGTTGAGGAGGAGGGGAAAGGGAGAGGCTTCCTTCCTTCCCTGCAAGACACCAGGGAGGGAAGGAGTGGACGTCATCAACAAAGGAAGAGAGATGGAGGCAGGGAAAGGCAAACAGAGGCAAACGAGAGGAGAAAAGAAGGCAGGGAGAGGTGAAGACTGAGGTGGGGAAAAAGAAGGTGCAGGAAAAGAAAGGGCAGAAATGGAAGGAAAAATTAAGAAAACATGGCAACCAGAGGTGTTGGACGAGAGCGGAGGGAGGGGTGACACGGGGCACTAACTCCAGTTTTAACACTTGGATCCTTTCTTCAATGTTGGCAGGAGGAGCACAGTGCATCTTAACTTAACTTGTGATACTCATAATTCATAGCAGCTTGGACTGAGTCAGGAGTAACAGACCAAGAAGAAATCAAGCAGGGCTCAGCTTTACAGTATCTTAACATACACCTCTAACTCATTAGGGCTCACAGGATATCAGATTTACATTAATGATCTTTCAATCTGACCTTGACAGAATTACTTCCCCTCCTGCTATTAGAACTGTAGATTCAGCATTTAAAGCACATTACAACATCATTATGTAACCCATAATGCAGCCATACAGAGCATATAGAGCATTATTATAGCCTCAGGTTCCTATGCGTGTTGGCTTAAGTGCACTACACAACAGTTTGGGTTTTACTTTAAATGCTGACAGTGTCACAAAAACATCCAGTTTTGTTTTCATCCGGCTTCCTTCATTCCTTCCGGTACCTCAGTGCCTTAAAAATGTGAACAAATGGGAAGTGTTTATGGTTCACAGACACACCGAGTACTACAGACTGTGTGAAAAAAGGTCTTTATGTCTGGATAAACAGTGTTTCCCACAGTGAAAACACTGATCACCTGAAGGTGCAGATTATGTACTATATCTTTTAAGACTTTATGTCAGTCTTTACAGCTTCACTTAGGACTGGAACCTGATTAACATGTTGACAGTTTACTAAGGTAATTGTTTGTTCTACACAGTGTCAGAAAACAATGAAAAAGTCACTATAATTCCAAAGAAGTCACATCATTGTTTGAATAAAGCAAAAAAGCTAATCAATGGCTTGTTTCCAAATGCCAGGATTTGTTTTGAAGACGTCACCTTGACAAATTATGAGGCTTTTTTCAGTTTGTAGTCAAATTATTTAATTTATTAACATACAAAATAATGAGCAAACAATTGATATTGAAAATAACCATTAGTTCCAGCTCTAATGAGAATTCACATGAACACAACAACAATTAGCTGCAGACTCCAGTGTGTCTTTTACTAGGGACATATGTTGAACTTTGCAGTTGTCAAACCTCAACTATAACTGATAACAGTTCCTGTGATAAAGATAAAAGACAGGTGACAACATAAAGTGTTTCATTAAGAAGTTAAGCAACAGGGACAACTTCAGTGCACCTTAGCATTGACTCTACAAGCCTCCATCATGTGGTGTTTGGATGACGGTGGTGGAGACGCTGTCTAACACATCCAAAATCTCCCATAGGTGTTCAACTGGGTTGAGATCTGGTGACTGTGACGGCCATAGCATGTGATTCACATTATTTCCATCCTCATCAAACTTTTCACTGACCCCTCATGCCCTGTGGAAGGCGGCACTGTCATCCTCGAAGAGATCTCTCCCATCAGGATATAAATATTTCAACACAGCATAAAGGTGATGTCTCAAAACAAATGTGTATGGATTAGCAGTGACCCTTACCCCATGGGGCCAAATGGATCCAAACCATGCCAGCAAAATGCCCACCACAGCCTCCCACAGGATTCACTCAATGTAGGGGTCAAGCATTTTAGGTTGTTCTTTTAATCTGAGTAGACCTGCTTGTTGATTCAGGAATGAACTTATCTTGACTGAGAATTAAATGCAAAACCTCTTAGGAAAACAAAGTGGTAACAAAATAAAATAACTGCTGACCCCTGTCAAACTGGCTGCTAAGTGCATAAACTCACAGCAAACAGTGTAACATAGTTATACAAACAGTTGTAGGCTACACTGTATACAAGTGATCGTTTATGCCACTAACAGTTTGGTAACAGCCATAAATTATAGGAACGGAGCGTGTGATGATGCAAGAGCGCAAGAACACATTTAACGCACTTTTGGTTTGTTAACTTCACATTAACACGAAACTATTAGGCGATTTGTTTTGTTGGACTGTCTGTGGAGATTTCGATTAATTTTCCGACAGCAATGTTAAAGAAAGAAAGCAAAAATGAGCAGACTTCCTGAATGTGTGTGTGAAACAAGAGGGAGGGAGACCGCACGCACACACACACGCACAAATTACACACTCACCGTTAGCAGTCTGAGACACGGTAGACACAGCAGTTTGACCCATATTCAGCTTTTCTGGAGCACCGGGTCGGACCGGGCCCCCGAACCCACGATCACGACCTTCTATCGCCGCATAAATCCTGTGCGCAAGCGCCGAGTGAGTTCATTTCAAAAGAATAAAAACTTTCAGACCGTGATGGCTGAGTCGCTGGAAACTGCTATTACGTCGCAACTTCCCCTCCCTCCTCCTCCTGTGAACAGCCTGAAGACTGCCTCTTATTCCGCTATGCAGATTAGAGGCGCTCTGGGGTCAAAGGCTGGAGGGGTCCGACACCCTCAGCCACTAGTTTACACAAGAAGATAATGGGCAGCAATACCTGACAGAGCGGGAGAGTTGAAAACAGTGAAAGCATACTGCTAAACAGTCCTGATCATGGATGGATCACTGAAGGGGCCTAAACCCTTGGGCTCCTGAGCCAAGGTTTAGGGGCCCTTTGGGCAGAGAGTCTCTGTTTGAAATGACTTTTTTGTTGTTGTTGTTGTTGAAAAGTCAATCTGGTGACTTGAAAAAGACACAAAACAACCACAAGAAGATGTAAAACTACCACAAAGTCATGCAACACAACAACAATAAACCGATGCCGAATGACAATTCCCATGGTCCCTGTACTGTACCTCTAAACCAGGGAGTGTAACAGCACTGCCAACACCCACACTCTCTCTCTATGAGTACCTGGAGCATGTACTACTTCCTGAGTGGTGTGTAGCTCTGAGAACTCATCTCAAAAGCAAGTGGAGGATAGATTTTCAATATACCAAAACACGAGGAGTTGTGTAACACCCATCCCATGCTTTGCATTTGTTTCCACTGCCCTCCTCTCGTTTTGGAGGTGCCTTCCAGCAACTAAAATGTGGTACCTATCAAGAGGTAACACCAAAATAAAGCCCCAGGCAGAGCTGTTGCCCATGTGTGGTTAAATCTCAGCGTCTTTGCATCTCAGCAAGGTGTTGCAATGGCTTAGAAGTAAAATGATCGAGGACGTGTTTAGAGGTAAAAGTGAATGGGCTGTGGGCAAAGTGTTGAAGATGTCACATTTCTGCAAATTTGATAAACTGCTCATACAGTCTCCATTACTGTCAGATTGCAGTTGCACTAAGACTCACTGGGCCCCCTGACTCACATGCTCTGCTCAGTTGTGTGTGTGTGTGTGTGTGTGTGAGAGAGAGAGAGACAGAGAGAGAGAGCTTTATCTGCCATCACTGTCAGCAGAGTGCCAGTTGAAGACCTCCAGAAGCAGCTTCACACACAATGTCACATTTAAGGTCAAGACTGCCATCTAGTGTTAATGGCATAACTCATTTGACCGTGCTTCAGGTTAGTGAGACTAAAATGATTTGTTGTTATGCATCTCTTATTACTATGAATGTCTGCACCAGACAAATAAAGCAAATTTGTTGTGTTCACACTGGAAACAATGGAAATGCAGCAGCACATTTGGCTCCTGCAGCAGTGTGTGCAGACTGAAGCTGTGTACATGTTCATTCACCATCTCAGTACAATCACTTGACTCATCTGCTATCAGGGAATAATATCATGTGTCTCATCCCATTGTGACTCACAGTATCCTACATCTGACACTGACTTAATTAAACTTGAGTGGACTTCATATGTTTTTGGAACATTATATTTGACAGCAGTTTATAGCAAAGTCTCTAAATCCAGTTTTGTTTATGGTACTCAATAATGCAAACCTTATACACATTAGCACACAGGAGCCTTCAAGACAGCCACAAGCTTACTGGAATGCAATGCAACAAACCCCACCTGACCCAGTTACACCAAATATTATCCCCAAACACAAATAATATAAATTATACAACTGCATTCACGAGTCTAGTAGTAGTGATGATTATGATGTTATTATTAACAAAGGGGACAATAAAATTCTAGTTTCATCTCCATTCATTATGTTCATCATTCAATTCATATATAGTACTTTCTGAACTGTTCATGTTTTCTTCAGTTCATTTCTTTAATTAATGTAGATAAGAATCCCGCAATTTAATATAATATTGTTTTCCACGCACTCCCTGTATTTACTGTATTCACATATGTTTAATTGTGAACTTACTTTTCATTTACGAATGTCTAGTCACACTAGACCCTTTTGGATACTGCCGCTTCAAACACTCAGTTACGAATCAAATAAATGCAGGTAAACGCTGCCTCTGGACTTGACTTACTGTAGGTCAGTCTGATGCTTTTGCTGTAAATCTGTGCAACAATACCATATCTAATAGAGAGATTGTTGGGATATAGTGAAGGTCAAGAGGACACTCCTTTGAGTAATGAAGTTTGTATGTGAAGGTGACACTTTTCAGGAGCTGGGTCCCGTTTGTTGTGACACTCAGTAACAGAATCAACTGAAGGAGCTTGACCGGAACAGCAGGAGGAGGAGGAGAAGGGCCAGAAAGGCCAGAAGAAAATAAAGGAGTCATCAAATATTAAGTAGTAGCCTCAGCAGAACAAGGGGGTAATAATTGTTTAAGTGCTACTTTTCCAAGCCTTTCTCCCCCCCCCTGCTTGATTTATTTATTAAACTCAGTTTCTGCCAGGGTATGTTCTCATAATATCATCATAACCAAAGTACAGGGAACGTGCAGTGAGTGCGTCATAGAAACTAATGTACTAAAATGATTTTGTGCACTCATGAGTGAGTTTCTAAAAAAGAAAGGAGAACTTTCATTTGAAGTTGCTTATCTCTCAGGTACATGCATATACATGCATATTTCTGCATATATACATGCACAAATCTACGACGGTTTAAACGTGCGAAGTTAAACCCATGGCTTTGAAGCAGCCAACCTTTTCCAGAGTCAGGAACTGGACATCTCTGTTACATAGTCATTATTCAGACCACAAACTGTCACAACAGTCAAGTGTGACTCAGCAAGCAACAGGCGCTGTTACACAAGCAACCCAAGCTGAGCCACGAGGAACTGTACTTAAATGGTCTCAGTGAATAGTGTCAGTAAATCTGCAGTTTATTTCATACCATTGTTAAATGCACTAACCATACTTTTAAGTGTTCAAAGTGAGTGTGCGTTTAAGTTCATTAGCAGATTTTGTTTGTATTAAGCTCCTGAAAACTCATTTTCTCAGCCAGCATCTTTCTATACAGTAGGAAAGTTTACATACAAATTTAGCACAAACAAAATTAAATTAAAAAAAGAAGAAGAATGTGGATTAATGCTTTTTTCCTTTTCATTACCATTAGACAAACATAAGGACTGGGGTGCATTAAGATAAACAGTTGCTTGTGCCAGTTCTTCAGTCTGGTAGTAGATGCAGTAGATGGTGCAATGAAATAATTCAATTAAAAGAATGGCTTTAGGAATAAATTGCAGTGCTTGTGGCTTTGGCTACTGATAATAATTTAAAATTGTAACTTAATATTGGATCATTTAGTTGCCGCACATGATCCACCTCAGTAAAATGGAGCCTGTATTTAGTTCAGTCTGATCAATATTCATTCATTTCTTCTTACATGCATGAGTTTGTCTCTTCTCTCCACTTTCATAACACAGAACTTCCCTATTAAAGGGATATTTACCTTATTAACTGTACAGTCTTTTGTTGCAGTAGCACAGTAGGGATTACTGTAATTTCTTTTCGTCTTCACATCTGCAAGCCAGCTCGTTTGAAACCTGACCTCCTGTTTGTTGTATTCTGTTTGGCACAACCCATAAGCTGCCATCATAGCTAAAATGTTCCCTCCATAAATCAATAGCTGACATCCTGCCAGACAGACAGACAAAGAGCTTTAGAGAAAGCAAGTTCAAAAGAGACAGACAGAGAAAGAGACAGAGACGAGGACAGAAAGAACTGGAGGAACGATTAATACTGATGTGTGGGGTCTTTAATAATAACCACAAAATAAAGGCCACAGTAGCAAAAAATATAAGAGCAACATACAGACACCATGCTTCATAAAGACAACACAAGACTGTGTTTTAGAAGTGTGTGAACCATGAAAACACAAACAGCAGCCAGCATTTATGTCTTCACTTTCAATCTTTAATTATATAAGGCCACATCTGCACAGATTTACTGTCGACTGGAAAAACAGCTGTCCTAAGCATGACAGTCGTGTTTGCTCAGTCGTGTTGTGTGGCTGTTTGTCAGGACATTATTACCCTTTCAGAGACTCAGCATGATTTGTTTAAAAGACTGGCTGATAATGACTATCAACACACTGAGCGTGTATCAATAGACACTGCCACAAGAGGTCTGGGGCAGCACTGCATGCTAACTCAGTTTTGACACATTAACAAATGTGCAGACTTGCTAGCCAAAATAAAATAATAATGCCCAGCCATTAGACTATTCAATGAACCATTATATTAACATAAGACTATTTCTCTTTCACACCTGTCAACCAAGTAGATCCATCTCCTCAACTGGTAGTATGTTGTTTTACCAGAGAAAATCTCACATCAAACTGAAGGAGTGTGTGAGAGAGATAAGCAGACACACAAAGACAGTTGCAAACTACAGTCTGACAAAGTATAACTGAAGTTAGACGTAATCTTTTATCTAAGAGCATGGAAGAGCTTCTATACACTGAAGCACATTCATGACAAATTCATCCAGAATTTTTTACAAAATGCAGGATTTAATGTGCAATGGTAAATTACTTTAAATGGACATATGCAAAGACAATCAGTCTCCCCTTACACTGTCTCCTAAACACACACTGACACAAAATATGACACATTTATAATCAACAGTGAGCAGAAGAACTAAACAGAGGTGATTATGACCAAGCATTTGTGCTCACTGTAGACACACATGCCTCACATAATATATATATGTATGTGCACTCACAGATGCTGCTTTGCCTTGCAAAATGCTGCTTCATAGTCACAACACCAGTAATGTGTTGCGTTCAGTTCTTAGGCAACACCTCTGTCAATACACACACACATAAAGGAGCACAGATTAAACTGGAATTATTGCTGTAAATCTCATCTAAGACATATTAAGACTATATTAGATAACACTGGCCTGATATAGCCTGTTTGACTCCTCTAGCTGACTGTGACACCATCCAGTGCACCAATATTTAGTCTAGTATACCCAAGATGGCTTTAACAATAATAATAATAATAGTAAGGTCTAGATCTTACATTATAAAGTGTCCTGAGATGAGCTTTGTTGT